TGTAGTCCCAGCTACTTGGGAGGCGGAGGCAGGAGAATCGCTTAAGCCCAGGAGTTGGAAGTTGCTGTGAGCTGTGATGCTACAGCACTCTACCCAGGGCCACAGCTTGAGGCTTTGTCTCAAAAAATAAAAAATAAATAACAAAATGGATGGGAATAAAAGGTAGAGTGAAAATTAGAAGATCTCATCCCCAGTGCTGTTTCTTGAAGATAAGTTCTGAAGTGAAAATGTAAAAGAAACTTTCTACATGTATACAGATACATTCATGAATAGAATGGTCATTTTCCTGATGTATTTTCCATCATTGAGGAGTGTTTTTCTAGTGGCAGGGTGATAAAGAAAATTGAAGTTCTCCCTCCATAGGTTCCTGGAGGCTGGATCTGGTTCTGATTGTTCCTCAGAGCTCTGGGGATGTCAGAAGTGTGAGTGCCCAATAAATAGAGAACATGGGCCCTATCCTGGAGGAGGCCTTGGGAACAGAAGAGACGTGCTCAAGGAAGGCTTGAGGGGTGAATTGGAAGGGACACTGTGCTGGCATTCAGCTTATGTAGATTCTTATCCTGACTTGGCTAGCCAGGACTGTTTGGGGAAGCCTGTATGATCTCAGGCTTTGCCAGCTAAAGAGGAGGTGGTTCTGAGAAGCAGACCTTTACATGCAAATATTACTGTGTGGTTGTCTGTCACACCCATGCACACATTTACCAAAGGCCTGCAAGTCTTTGTCCCTCACATCTGTAGCTTGTTTGGCCATCTTGGCTGTCACTTAGGGGTTGGCAGCATCCTTAGTACAAACTTGAGGGTCTGATGGCATCTATGAACTACCTGGAACATGACAAGGCCTTCTTTATTTTCTCCTTTGCTCCCTTTTCTACACTTGTTTCTTTCTTTGGAGCCACGTTTGGACCCATTGCCTCAGGCATATGGGGCCAGTGCCCTACTTTGAGCCACAGATGCTGCCCACTACACTTGTTTCTTGTCACTCCTATGAAGCTAATCACTTGATTTGGGTGGATTCCTGGTATGCCATTACCAGTGTTTTCTCATCGCAAGGAAAATGTCACCTGACCAGTTTACTAGCCTATCCTGCTTCCTCCCTCATCTTTCCCACTTTCTTTTTTTTTCCTTTTTTTTTTATTGAATGGTAACTATGTACATTAATGCACTTCTGGGGTACAGTGTGGGGTTTTCACATGCAATCCGAAATACTTCCATCCAACGGGTCAACACAGCCTTCATGTCATTTTCTCAGTTATTGTTTTAAAACGTTCACATTCTACTCTTAGAAAGATTCACTTGTACCCCATCTTTCCCACTTTCAAAGAATGCATGGATAGATTGCTGTTCAGTTGACATTTGCTGAATACCACCAACCACATCCTAGTTTCTGTGTTGAAGGTTTTTTCCATTGTTTTAAAAAAAAATTCAGTTTATATTTGACATTTATATACACTGAAATTCATTTTGGTGTTCAGGTCTTTGGGTTTTGATAAATGTGTACAGTCACATATCTACCACCATAGTCAAGATGCAGAACAGGTTCATCACCCCCCAAATTCTCTCTTCTGGGCCTTTGGCCTCTGCCCCTAACCCTGGGTACTGTTGATCTGGCCTCCAGCCTTTTAGATTTGCTTTTTCTGGGGCAGCACCTTTGGCTCAAAGGGGTAGGGCACTGGCCCCATATGCCGGAGGTGGTGGGTTCAAACCCAGCCCCGGCCAAAAAAAAAAAAATTAATTAAATAAAAATAGATTTGCCTTTTTTGGAATGTCATAAAGGAAGTTATGCAGTAGGCAGCCTTTTGAGTGGCTGCTTCCATTTAGCATAATACATTTGAAATTCATTCTTGTGGCTTGGCGCCTGTGGCTCAAGCAGCTAAGGTGCCAGCCACATACACCTAAGGTGGCAGGTTCGAATC